TCATATTGAAGTATCTAGTTTCACACCTCCTATTCAAAATGAACAAGTGAACTCACTACATGTTCCCCAAAATGATCAAAATATTGGAGATCAACCTGACGCTATGCTACCTACCTTAATGGTAAACTTCTTACAACAAATGACTAATGCCCCTGTGTTTCAACCACCTCCACCACAACCTCGTTTGATCACTTTCAAAACCTTGAAAAATAATGGTGCTGAGGAGTTTCTGGGAGATCGAATTGCCGAACCCCAAATTGCTCTTGAATGGATCGAGCACACCGCTCGTGTACTACAAAATTTGAACATACCTCTCGTTGATCATCCAAAATTTGCATCTCAATTGCTCCGCAAGGAAGCCTACGAATGGTGGAAACGTACTGACGAAAATCCAAGTTAGGGTGTGCAGAAGGATTTTTACGATTACCAAGTTAATACTTTAGTCCGGAAGGGGCTGCAGACCTAGACGGATTAGGGTGTTACAGCCCCACTCATCGTCACCGCTTTCAACCGAGACACAGTGACCATCTGGAGTGATCTGTGGATTTGTACCCTATGGAGGGCGTGACGGACCTGCGGTGTTAAGTGCACTGGTCAAATTGACGGGAGCCACAGTGCTAACCAACTACTGCTGGAAAGGCGACGGCTGTGGTACCAGCGTCTGGAAGGGAGACACTGCCATCGGAGTTTGCAGGGGCATTGTTCCAGCGCCTGGGAGGGCAAATGGAAACATGCGTGGGAGGAACGGCATTCCCCCATTCTGCTGACACATGGCCATGACCTGGCCAAAGCCTTGGATGGCCTGTAGGCTGGCCGGATCATTCATGAACTGGGTCATGCTTGGTGGGAATGTGACCCTTGGCCCAGCAGAGGGACGGGGATCGTGAACGGGCTGACCACGCTGGGTGTTGGGATTGAACTCAGACCCAACGGTAACACGGGAGCAGAAACAGCCGGTTGGGTCGCGACCATGGGGATGCTGACCCCCTCAGTGGTGGCTTGCACCTGAGCAGAGGTAGCGTTGATTTGCTGGCTTGAAGACATTTTGAGTGGTGTTTTTGTGGGTAGGTTTGTGTTTAGATGATAAGAAACCTTAACGGTCCCACGGGTGGCGCCAAAAATGATGGTGTAAATTACCTTAACCGAGTAAACTACGCTAGACCGGGTCTAGAATCGTTTACTTGATTCGATAAAGTAGAAAGGTAAAAAAACACGCGAAGTGACCGGGAGGATTGTAGGTGCAAACACCTGAAGCCCAATTAATATTATAACATAGAATGCACGGGAGGTTTTACAAGAGAGTTTAGAGAGAATGAATTCGGATCCTCCTTCTGAGGATTACAGCAGTATTTATACTAAGTTTGAGGTGGACAGGACGTCGTGCACCCACGTGGAGGCACGTTCTCGAATGGGGGGAGGTGATGGCCTTCGTCCTCTTGCTGCCTTGTCATCTTGCGAGAGAGATTGCTCCCTTGTCGCGTACTGGCTTGGACAGATTCCTCTAGCATCTCCATTGATCTTCCAGCGATACTAGTCACTACAATCCAAGCTCATTTGGATTCTTCTCTGCCGACACTTTCTAACCCTAGAAACCACACCGGGTAATTTCTGGGGATAAGTTTATCGAAATTAGGGACTGAACAAGGCGATAAAGTAGTTTGACCGGTATACTATCCGAAGTGTACCGGTTAGAGTTTTGGTCAATCGAGCCTCCTTTTACCGACGATTAAGGCTTCCCTTTCCAGTTCGATCCACTTGACCGGTCAACTATTTAGTCCTCTCTTTTGACCGGTTCTGGGTGGAGTACACCCATCAACATAAATTTAAATTAAATAAAGAAAAAGGTAAATTTGCCTAAAATAATCGCACCTTTCATTTATTTGCGAAAAATAAGCATTTTTTAAAAATTTTGTTAGGTGGCCGTTAGCTTTTTAACGGCGGCCCAAACTCGCACACATGCAGAAAAATGGAGTTATTTTCGGTGACAGTGAATAGTGGAATTATTTTTAAAAAAACGTGAAAATATGGGATTATTTAAGATAATTTTTCCTAATGTTTTTGGAACAAAAAAGAAGGTTTGTCGGGTCGAATAGTTCAGGACAAAGTGAGCACATTTTTTGTTTTAATTATGAACTATCTCAAGTTATCGGAAAAAATGTACAATTATACCTTTGTAATTGTCCAATTACTTAAAAAAAAACTTATTCTGTATAATTAAGTACAGTAGACTTCATTTGACAACAATCGTTTACATTGCTTTGTTCAAAAAAAATTGATGATTTCTATCTCCCTAAACCTTCATGCCCCTATCCCAAATCGATTGGCTAGAGTTACACTGCTCATATCTTAAAATGTCAGCTATATGTTTTAAATGAGTTTGTCGCTCATTCATGTCAACAGTACTCATATCTTATTTGAGGATTTATATATTGTATGTTTGAGATATATGGTTATATTAGATATACAAAGTGAACCACCAATTTCGAAGAAACGAAAACAAGACTAAATTTCGGACGAAGAGAGTATGCATATATGGAGATAGCTACCACATGCTTAATATGTTCCATTTATCAGAGTTGTAACTTGTTACATACTACCAATACAATGATCACTAGGGGAATGAAGAAATAATGAAGCAGGCACAACTAGAGCCGTTGTTATGATAGCAACTTGACAGCGGCTTCGCCATCCATTATTATCACCAAGTGATCTTCACTTTGTATCTCCATGTTCTTTCCCCATAGGAACAGATACAATCCCAGTATGATTAGAGACATCCCAATCAAGCTGCAATAATTACATATATACATACATATTTTCACACTATTTAACGTCAAATCATTAAATATTTCACGCGCTAGATCAGATCTTTAGCATATACTCCATCCATTCCACAATAACTGCAAAATCTATTAAGGATTATTAGAAATATAAATAATTAGATTTTGAATTAATGTACAATTAAAGATGTAAACATTCATTCAAAATCTAATAATGTATCTAATAAACCTTAGTAGACAGTTATTGTGGAATGAAGAGAGTATGGAATATGAAAATTGAAAGGAATCTCAATCAAACTCAAGCTCGGCTAGTTTATTTGTAAAAACAAGTCGGGCTCAATTTGGTACACGGTTTACAAACAAGCCAAAATTAGCTCGGCAGAAAAACTCAACTAGAAATTAAAATTTTGACACATACAAAGTATGTTTGTCATTTAATTATAGTGAATAATTTCCACTTGCATGTGGCTTGAGAGTTCGACTCGGCTCGACATAATAAATGTTTGAGCTTGAGCTTCAAAGTTCAAAGGAGTTCAGCTCGAGCTTTACTTTAAACTCGAAACATTAACAAGTTGAGCTTGATCGAGTCGAGCTTCGATACGTGGTAGGCCCCGCTTGGCAACAGCGTTAGAATTTAACGTTGGCGTTATGAAAAAGAAATCTAAAGCTAGCTTTTCATGTTAGCATTTTCAAAAAATTAATCTACAACATTTAAAAAGATTTAACCAAAATACTAACGGTAATTAAAAACGGTTATGCCATTTTATCCTTCCTTATTAAACAATTCTATAAAAACAAAGAATAAACCTAGAGGTACACCAAAATAGGGTACTCCATTTGTGCACGAGACAAACAAAGACAAACACAGACAAGTGTCTGTGTTTGTCCGTGATTGCCTGGTGTACGTACAAATGGGGTAGTCCATTTTGGTGTACCCATAGCATGCCTAAAAAAACAAAAGGAGCTACTTTAGTTTACCATTAAACTACATATACTTATATACGGAGTTACCTTCCAAGGGAGATTCCGGCGCCAAAGAAAACAAGTTCAGTGATTGCCACCATGACCAAGCATAATGGATTGAACATTGAAGGATAAGTGGGTCCTTTTTTTGCAATAGCCCAAGAGATTAAGCAAAAGGTTGCTCCCGTTGCCAGTGCGCCCTACATACATATTGCACAACTCATCTAATCTCTTAATTACCTTACATTATTAATTACTAGTGCTGCTGGAGTATGTATTTTTCCCTTTAAACCTCAGCAAAACTAGTGTTTATGATTAAAATGAAATTAGTGGTAATTATTGTAACACCGATTTAGAGATTAGAATAATTGACTAATAATACTTACAGAGTAAAAAATGGTGATTAGTTGCAAATTCCATCCGAGAGCCCAGGACGCCATTCTTCTATCAATGCATAAACCGACTACCATGCTTTGAAAGGAGGCGGTTATGCATATGAGCAAGTTTGCCGAATATGTGTGTGGGTATATCTTGTACAATTTAAACTGCCAAAAAAAAATAATCAATAATCAATAATCAAGGCCACGAGTTAATTAAGATCCTTATTTCAAATTAAATTAGACAAACTTTAATTATAGTCGAAAGAATTATTAAGTATAGTAAAGTGTAATTTTGGTTGACTTTCCAATTTTGCCCCTGATGTGATGGGAAAAAGTAAGATGTGATAGTTTGGTTATTAGAAAAAAAGTATGATGTGATAGGTAGGGTATGAAAAGGTAGGAATAAAAGTGGTTTTTTAATAGATAGTGGAAGTGTTTTGTGGAAAGCAAAAAAAACAAAAGAGTAAGGGTTTTGTGGAATGGAGGGAGTATAATACTCCTACTTTTCACTCCTCTTTTTCTACCAAACTCATTTCTTTCCCACCCTGGTTAACTTCTTTTTGCGTAGTGGCAAAATGAGAATGTCTAACACACTTTTATTTGTTTTCCTAAAATGCATCAAGTCAAAATGAGACTTATATTAAGACGGAGTACTATTTTTTTTTTCTTTCTTTCAAAGAGAATATATTACTGTATAATCTTATCTCAGTTTTGAAAATACGAAGATGTGAAATATTTTTAGGAGGAGAGGGAGTACACCATCCAGAAGAAGAAGTTGATCTAGATAGTGTTTACTACCTCCGTCCCAGAGTATTTGTCCACTTTCATTTTTTACATTTCATCCAATACACTTATTTAATCCAGTTTATCTTGTAATTTGTATATTAAAAAATTATAGAAATTACTCATATTAATAATCTATATGTTAAAACAAATCAAACAAGATCACACATGACTATATTTTGGCTTACACATTGAGAAAATTTGATGACTCAAAGTGCTTAAATAAACAGTTCCAAAAGTCAAAACTGGACGAATACTCCAGGACAGAACTAACAGAACGAGTAATTATTAATTACCTGTGCAATGAACCAAAAACCATATCCCAAGCAACTGCAGACTAGAAATATAGTGCCGCGTGTCCAATTCGGCGGCATACCATCATCAAACAAATGGAATAATAGATTGTTCGAGTTGTCGGCCACATTCCTGAGGTAGAAAGTTTTTCCGGTGTACATTGCAGTACTTAACGCTCCCACAAGGCAAAGCGTTGCTCCCATGACCATAATTTTCCCATCCTTGGCATTAAGTCGTAGCTTTTCTACACTTTATTTATCACCGCCATTAGCTCACATACAATCACAAAATTATTCCGAATTACCCTTAGATTTTCTAGTAATAATTCTCAGCTCTCACAATATCCAAAAAATACTCCAGAAGTTTTAAAATTTGTGATAATATACTCCGCTGGTATATTCTATCTATTTGGCTGTTATAATTAAAAGTTCTATTACTTTGATAAATACTAAATTTTAAATTGATAATCATTATTTTATTAAATTTAAATAACATTCTTTAATTTGTCAAAGTAAAAGAACATTGAATATGATGCCTAAATTGAGAAAATGTACCATCCGAGTAAAATATCAAAATTTTAAGGGACCGGAAGTATATTTCGGATAATGTGAGACTTTGAAAGTTCTTATAAAAATCGAGGATATCCTAGAGTATATTTTAGATAATGTGGGACCTGAAAGTTATTATTAGAAAATTGAGGGTACCCAGAAGTAATATTTTGTACATATAATACTCTCTCCCTCCCAAATTAAGTTGTTATTTACTATTCACATGATCAAACTTCATTTATTTTCTTTCTATATTTTCTTTACTCATTTGATAACATAATATAGTCATGTCACCTCTTGTTTTTCAAAATGTTTGATGTAGTGTTTTAATATGTAAAGTTTATTTTTCAACTCCTCTCCAATTCATTAATAAATTACATTAAAAAATAACTTCAGTCAAACATTGTAAACCGAAACAAATAATTTAAATTGGAACGGAGAGAGTATGAGTAGTACAAATATACAATACTTATACGTCAGGCGACATATATGTTAGAAATATTATTTTGGGAGAAAATATTCTCTTGTATTTCTAGAAAGGTAAATTCTATGGAAGACCTACATATGAGCAAAATAAGCATTTCTTTACTACTTATATAATTATTTCTTTTTTTAAATAAAAGAAAAATTTATGTGAGAAGGACCAAAAAAATAATATGCATCCAAGGTACACCTTTGAAGCACTATTCTAGAAAATAAGACATACGATGGGCATATGCAATACTCATATGGCAGACATATATTGCATAAAATATACAATACTTATATGGAAGACATATATGATAGAAATACTATTCGGAGAAAATATTTTCTTTGTATTCCTAGAGGAACCGCTAAACCCGAAAGAAGACATATAATCTCTCAGTCTCATAAAATATTTTCTGTTTCAAAAAAAGAGCGCCCTTAAAATGAGTAATTTTAGTGTTATTTTTTAATTATGACTAATCTATTCTACACATCTCATCCTACTCTTTTATAAAGTAATGGTAAAATTAGAAAATAACACCAAAATTACTTATTTTAAGGGCGCGCCTTTTTTGAAACAGGAAATGTTTTATAGGAGGGAGGGAGTATAACACAAAGAGGCTTTGAAGAAGTAGGAAAACACTAGCCTCGAAATTAGCTAGGGGTCACAGGAATATAAAAAAAGAATGATACAGATGGGCGGGTGGCAAGACACAAAGGGGAGCAAAAATTTGTATTCTCTCCGTCCTGAAATGTTCTTCTCACTTACTATTCACAGAGTCAAACTTTAATTACTTTCTTTACCTATTTTCATTAGGTATTTGATAAAATAATATAGTCTTGTCACCACTTGTTTTATAGAACTTTTGATGTAGTTTTTAAATATATAAATTTTATTTTTTAATTTTACACCTACAATGAAATAAATTGAATTAAAAATAGAGTCGGTCAAACTTCGTAAACAGCGGGAAGAACATTATAGGACGGAGGGAGTAGCACGCAAGAGGATTATGAACATGCGTGCAATGCTCGAGGTACGATGACAATGCTCGTCGCTTTGGGTCGCATCGAGCTAGCTAGCCGGTTGACTTGTGTTCAACTTCCATCCACTTCGCCTTGAGCTCTTCTCAACCTGGGAAGTGATCGAGGGACTCATGAGATAGATACCCTGGACGAGGGGGCATTTGGCTCAGAGGAGTAACCGGAGCCCGTAAGAGATACCGGACCGGGCCAATTACATAGGATGTGCACCCCAAAGAGCGGGTTCTTGGCTTGGTCTGGGCGCCAATGAAATCAACGTAAGGCTTTGAGATTCTTACAAGAATAATGATATTCCTAGAGAGTGGAGAGATGAATCTCATTCTCAACAACAGATGATGAGAGATGTGTACGTAACGTTATCTACCAAGCAAGTAGTTTGTTGGGCCTTTAAAATAGCAAGTAGTTTGCCCTTTCTTGTGGAAAGAATTGGACAATGTTCTAGGTTGTTAGGTCATTACCTTAGTCAAAAAAATGAGCTAAACTACCTTTCAAAATAATATGGAGTATTGAGTTAACTTGAAATGATTGTTCAATAATACTAGAGGGATCGTAGTGCTCGGTAAAGAAGGAATGAGAGCACACAAATATTCAAAGAATAAAGAAAGGTTTGGAATGAAGTGAGGGCAATCTCGCTATAGAAGATATGAGCTCAATCCAATGGGTGAGAAGTGAGCTTGAATTGTCATTTACATCTCTGCATTGGACAACCCAATTTCTTAGTATTTAATGTGAGCTATTTGTCACCCCTAGTTAACAAAACAACCATAGTTTGAATTTTTTAACCCTAACGCTTAAGTGGTGCTAGTGTGCTACCATGAATGATTGCATAAACCTAATGGAATCAATTTGAAATATGTCCGTAATAAAATTTGATGGTTAAGAAAGTCAAAATAAGAACTTTAGTTTGAGATGGTGATAGTAATAAATGTTGAATAATGGAATAATGTGTTTATTCAATGAAGGAAAGAGTATAGAAGAGAATGTATATATAGGAAAAGATTCGTTCTAATATATTTAGGACTACCACGAGGACCACCTTGACTGCGGGTGTTGTCATCTCTATAGGGCGAGGTGCGTTGATTGTCACGCTAGTCATCCCTGTTAGAAGAGTGTTGCCACCAACCTCCCCTATTCCCAAAGTTGGAACTTCCTCAGCCCCGAACTAGGCCGTCTCAGCCCCGATCACTATTTTCGTAGCCGTCACTATGAAATTGGTAATAAGGCGGCGTTATGGACATCAGCCGAGGGGGATGCCTCACCAAGATGCAAATTTTGTTCAATCTGAACATTCTATTCCTCAGACAAACCATGATGAAACTCTATTGGAGGTCAAAGATCCAATATTTGTCTAAATGTTCTAATTACGAGAAGCATATTGTGATGGGAGGCCATGTAAAACACATAGAATGATATCTTGTTCAGACATAATCTCACGAGAAAGATTGAGGGATTCCACAATACCAAGGGCTTTATCAAGATACACTTTACCCTTCCAGAGGCTATGAAGGCGATCTTTAATTGAAAAATATGATTCCGAGACAATGATTATACCTCTGTTGCAGATGAGTCCATATGTCAACTAAGGATGAGAGAAAGTGAATATGAGCTTGTACCGTAGGAGAGACGATAACGAGAAGACACGCTCGGATTTAAGCATCAATGATCTTCAATGTTTCATAGGCAGGGTTGGCCCTCAATAGAGGTGGTGAATCTTTTTTGCCAGTGCAGGTTCTTTTTCATCAAGAATAAACGCTGGAGACACTGCTTTTGTACCATCAACATAGTCGAGTAGGCGATGAGCCATCCGGTACACTTGGAGATTCAGGACAAATATTTTAAATATGGTGGGAAGACGATCTATAGGATCAGTAGAGGGAGGCACCACCGGCAATGTTGAAGACAAAGAACTCTAGCTGACAATGTTTTCCGATTGTTTTTGGTTTGTTGGAAGATGTGGAAAAGAAAAGAGATCGTAAGCTTCGATACCATGTTGAATAATGGAATAATTTATATATACAAGGAAATGAGGAGTATACAAGATAGTACTCCGTATATATATGAAGAGATCCTTACATAATTAGGGATTAACCTAATGTAGAAACTAACTACTACTACTTCCGTCCCGTGAAACATTTCCCCTTTCTTTTTTTATCCGTCCCACAAAACACTTCTCATTTCTATTAAAAAGTCACTTTTACCCCTTACTTTTTCATACCCTAACTATCACATCATACCTTTTTACTAATAATCTATCCATCAAATCATACTTTTACCCATCACATCAAAGGACATTTTTGGAAATTCAATACCAAAATACACTCCCTTAAATCCCTTCTAAAAAGTAAATGTCCCATGTTTCACGGGACGGAGGTAGTATAAAAATACTACCATAATTAGAATTATTGTTAGTATTATCTAACAAAAAATATTTCAATTTCCCATTAATTTTCTCATTTTCATTATTTTGATTCATATCATATTTGTGTGGTTCAGAATCATTCTTACTATAGCTGATTTTTAACATCAATATAAACCACAATCTTATTAAAAAAATTTAAATTTTTGTGTACGTTTAAAAAATATTAGAATTTGGGACGGAAGAGCATGTAGTTACGTATATACATACATTATATATACTAGTACATAAAACAAAATGTACACATATATATTACTTCGGCCCGGTTCCATGGCCACTGGAATCCAGTGGCCACGGAAGCCATTGCCCCCCTACGAAACTCCGTTCATAAAATTGATGATTCCT